CCTTGGCGCGGCGTGGCGCGGAGCAGCGATGTGGCGCAGAGCTGCGGTGCGTGCGGTGCAGGGTACCGGGAGTTCCCGGGCCGCTTCGGGAGCGGCGGCAGCGCAGCTCCGGCGGTGGCTGGAGGGAGAGCTAGAGGGGATCCGCGGTGCCGGTACCTGGAAGAGCGAGAGAGTCATCGCCTCCCGCCAGGGCCCGCATCTCCGGCTTGCGGGTGGCGGAGCCGGTGCGTGCGGGACGGAGGGGGAGTGCCATGGGGCGTATGCCTGGTTCGATCCCTGTGCCTCGGTGTCTGTGTCTGCCCGCAGGGATCCTCAACTTCTGCGCCAACAACTACCTGGGGCTCTCCAGCCACCCGCAGGTGATCCGTGCCGCCGTGCAGGCCCTGGAGGAGTTCGGTGCTGGGCTCAGCTCTGTTCGCTTCATCTGTGGCACGCAGGTACTGGGCACCTTTTGGCTTTAAAGCTGCTTGCCGTGCTTTTAAGGCCGTGTTTCTGAGCACAATTAACCTCTCCCACACACACTTTTCCTGGATAATAGGTGGCTATTTTCTGCTGTCAGCAGCAGGCAAGCAGTAACTTGCTCAGCCCAAGCAGTGATGCTTGCTTTGGTTGCTTCTGTCCTCTCTTTAGAGCATACACAAGGACCTGGAGGAGAAAATCGCACGCTTCCACCAGCGGGAGGATGCCATTCTCTATGCCAGCTGCTTCGATGCCAACGCTGGCATCTTTGAGGTTCGGAGAGCTTCAGTTATGCTGCATGAGGAGGAGGGGAGTGTGTAGCTGATGAAACGGCCCTCAGTAGACGATGGGGGGAGATGGGAAGTGGAAAATTTTGCAGCAGCAGCTGTAGTCAAAGGCACCTTTGTCCTTTGCACTGGCAAAGGCTGTCAGGTTTTGGATGAAGGGACACCTTGGAGTTCACAGAATCATAGAATCATACAGTAGGTGGGTTCAAAGGGTCCTTAAAGGCTCTCTAGTTCCAAACTCCTGCCACATGCAGGACTGCCCACCAACCTAGGACCCCATCCAACCTGACTTTGAATGCCTCCATGGATGGGGCACCACTGCTTTGGGGAACTGTGCTTGTTTTTCTTTGCCCTCAAAGCTGATTTGATCTGTTTGGTACGGGCAGGCTCTGCTGACCCCGGAGGATGCGGTGCTGTCGGATGAGCTGAACCATGCCTCCATCATCGATGGGATCCGCCTCTGTAAGGCCAACAAGTACCGCTACAAGCATATGGACATGCATGACTTGGAGGCCAAGCTGCAGGACGCACAGGTACCACCACTGTGCTCCATCCCATGGTGCATCTGGGCAGCCCTGAAAGATCCACTCAACCCTTTCCCATCCCATAGAATCATAGGATCATCAAGATTGGAAAAGACCTCTAAGATCACCTACTTCGAATATCAGTCGATCCCCATCATGCCCACTAACCGTGTCCTTCAGTGCCACATAGGCAGTGTTCTGGAACACCTCCAGGGATGGTGACTGCACCACCTCCCTGGGCAGCCTGTGCCACTGCAGCACCGCTCCTTCTGAGAAGAAATTTTTGCTAATATCCAGCCTGAACCTCCCCTGGTGCAACTTGAGGCTGTTACCTCTCATCCTATTGCTGTTACTTGGGAAAAAAGGCCAACCCTCCACTTTTCTACAACCTCCTTTCATGTCATTGTAGAGAATGAGAGAGGCTCATACAGAATCATAGAATGTCCCGGGTTGGAAGGGACCTCAAGGATCATGAAGCTCCAACCCCCTGCCACATGCAGTGCCACCAACCTCCCCATTTAATACTAGACCAGGCTGCCCAGAGCCCCATCCAATCTGGCCTTGAACACCTCCAGGGACGGGGCATGCACAACCTCTCTGGGCAGCCTGTTCCAGCACCTCGCCACTCTCTCTGTAAAGAACTTCCCCCTGATATCCAAAATCTCCCCTCCCTCAACTTAAAACCATTTCCCCTTGTACTGCTGTTATCTACCCTTTCAAAGAGTTGATTCCCCTCCTGTCTGTAGACTCCCTTTAGGTACTGAAAGGCTGCAATGAGGTCACCCCGCAGCCTTCTTTTCTCCAGGCTGAACAAGCCCAGCTCCCTCAGCCTGTATTCATAGGGGAGGGTGCTCCAGTCCCCTGATCATCTTGGTGGCTCTCCTCTGGACCCTTTCCAACAACTCTCTATCTTTCTTGTACTGGAAGCTCCAGACCTGGACACAGTACTCCAGAAAGAACAGAGTATAGTGGGACAATCACCTCCCTATCCCTGCTGGCCACCCTCTCTGATGGAGCCCAGGATACCATTTGCTTTCTGAGCAGTCTCTGAAGTTGTAGAGTTGTAGCTGCACCCTTTTTGGTCTTTGGGCAATGTGGGAAAGCATCCAGCTTCTGCAACTGATATCTTGTTTGCAGCTGTATCTTAGTTCGTTGTACCCACGCTGTACATACAGCAGGTGGGGCTAGGGCTGTATCTCAGCCTCCTTCACCGGTTCTAAAGTGATGTCCTTGTAGCATGTGGTTCTCTCCCACAGAAACACCGCCTACGCCTGGTGGCCACCGATGGTGCCTTCTCCATGGATGGTGACATCGCCCCCCTGCGGGAGATCTGCCAGCTGGCCCAGAAGTATGATGCCTTAGTCTTCATCGATGAGTGCCATGCCACGGGCTTCCTGGGTCCCAACGGCCGGTAAGTGGCTGCTTCACCCTTCACAGCTATTAGAGAACTCCCTTGGGTCTTGGGGGTTTTCTGTCATCACCTGGCACAGTTGTGAGTGTGCAATGTCTAGAGGGATTGAGAAGGGCTGTTGAGTGCTTCACACGAGTTATAACCTTGTGTTGTTGATGCTGTTGTCAAGAGAGCCAGTAGGGAGACGGAATGCCTGACCTGTCTTTTTGGGGTAGAGAATGCAAAGCAGGAGAGCATAGTGGACACATCCTGTTGGTTCCACCAGTATAGACCTTGATGTGGGCACTGTGGAGGTGTGTGCATGTAGGATATTGGTGGATGTATTGGACATGTATTGGTGACGTGCAGAGCCAACCTCAAATAATGTTGGCTGCACTGTGTAGCTGTTTCTCCTGGTATATTCAAGATATGGCACATCAGAGGCAAGTCCTACATTCAAGAATCACTAGAGAGAGTGCACCACTGAGACTGTTCATAGAATCAGTAAGGTTGGAAATGATCACTAGGTTCATCAACTATCAGCCCATCCCCACCATGCCCACTGACCACGTCTCTCAGTGCCACATCCACATGATTCTGGAACACCTCCAGGGATGGTGACCCCACCACCTCCCTGGGCAGCCTGTGCCACTGCAGCACCACTTTTTCAGAGGAGAAATTTTTCCTAAAATCCAACCTGAACCTCCCCTAGCACAACCTGAGGCCATTGCCTCTCATCCTAAAAATTTGTGGGAACTTCGTGCACTCTTCCAGCTGGAAGAGGCGATGAACCCCTTCCTGGGTCTTAGTCTCTCTGCAGGTGAGAGGAAAGGCAATGCTTGGGCTGAAAGAGCACAGTGAAGTGTTTCTCCTTTACCAGAAGAGGGATGCCAGATACCTGGCTTCCCCTTGAGGAAAACAGCATCAGAGGTACATGCTGGTATGGTTGATGGTGTGACATTCCCTTTTCTGCAGGGGTACCGATGAGCTCCTGGGAGTGATGGACAAGGTCACCATCGTCAACTCTACCCTGGGAAAAGCTCTTGGAGGAGCTGCAGGTGAAGGCATTTCCATGTCTGAGGCCCTCCATGCCCTAAGGAGTTCCAGTGTATGCTCTCCTTTTCTTACTCATGCCATGAGGCTCAGTCTAAGACTCTGCCACGTGGCCGAGGGAGGTCGTGCTGAGTTGCTCTTGAGGTCAAAGTGGACGCTCATGGTAAAAGACATCAGCTGTGATTTTTTTTTTAGGTCTGATCTGTGATAAAATTTCTTCTGTAGGGAACAAGTTGCTCACTCTGAACAGGTCACCCTGGGACTACCGTGCCCATTTCCCTTTCCTCTCTCTGCAGGCGGGTACACAACAGGCCCCAAACCCCTCATCGATTTGCTCCGCCAGCGCTCCCGCCCCTACCTCTTCTCCAACAGCCTGCCCCCCGCCGTGGTGGGCTGTGCCTCCAAGGCCCTGGACTTGCTCATGGAGAGCAATGCCATCGCCCAATCCATGGCTGCCAAGACCCAACGGTGAGGGGCCACGCTTCTGCTCACCTCCTCCTCGTGTGCCCGTGTGCGTGTCAGAGGGGAGATTTAGAATCACAGCCAGCCCTCAGTGGCCTGGGTTTTACTCATCCCCTCATTTCACTTACCAGGTTCAGGAACAAGATGACGGCAGCCGGCTTCACCATCTCAGGAAAGGACCACCCCATCTGCCCCGTCATGCTGGGGGATGCCCGGCTGGCTGCGGTGATGGCTGAGGACATGCTGAGCAGAGGTGAGTGAGGCAGGGAGCCATGCACGATGGCATGTAACACTGAAAGCAGAGAGCCAGAAGCCTTTCTGTCACCCGTTGTCACCTCAGTTTTCCTTCCTGGCCAGCTCCAGCTCTCCATGCTTTTCCTCTCCAGGCATTTACGTCATTGGCTTCAGCTACCCTGTGGTCCCCAAGGGCAAAGCCCGCATCCGGGTCCAAATCTCAGCTGTGCATAGTGATGAGGACATCGACCGCTGTGTGGAAGCCTTCATTGAGGTGGGACAGAAACATGGAGCACTGCCTTGAGGGGCTGCCAGACTCATCCCCTAGTGCCCTTCTGCCCACCGAGACAAGTGCCTGTGCCTGGGAGGCCTGAGTGGCACGCTGCTCAACACAGGACCCTGAGACCCTGTAGTCTGCAGGAGTCTCTCTGGCTGTTGCACTGTGCTGGCAGCATCACCGGTAGCATTAAAGACTTCCTGCAGTGCAGTGAGTAGTTGTATGGTTCTTGCATTCTCATCCAGGAGTTGCTACCACTTTCTGTCCTCTTGTGCTGTTAGGTGTCTGCTATGTAGCTTCAGTCAGGGCACTGAAGTGCTCCTCTCCCCTTCTGCAGGTGGAAATGTGCTGCTGCTGAGGTTATCTGTTTCCTCAGTGCCCCATCCTGCAGGTTCCAAAATATAACCCCACAGTAATTCCCCACCAGGGCAGGAAAATTTCTCAGGGTTGTGCATCAGCCTTTGGCTACCCATGCCACCAGCAGCCAGTCTGTGAGAGAGCAAAGGCTTGCTTTCTTGGTGCTCTGGGCCAGCCATTATGCTCTGCCCACTGCCCTCACCGCAGAATCATTTGAGTTGGGCCGGACCCTTAAAGGCCATCTGGTTCAACTCCCCTGCAATGAACAGGGACACTTACAGCTAGGTGACGGCACTCAGAGCCCCTCCAGCCTGACCATGGGGCTCTTACCCTGGGATCTGGTTCTCACATGCCACAGCCCAGCAGCTGGGCTTTAAATTTGAGGCCATAAACAGAGCAGGTGACAGAAACCTGTAATTCCTCTCCATTGTGCATGATTTTCACACAGCAGAGAACACACAGACAGCTGACAGCTCTGGATTTGTTCCTCCAAGCTGTGCAGGAGTGGCGGTGATTTAGTGCTCATGCAGGCACACGTGGCTCCTGGGCATCTCAGCATGGCTTTATTTGAATCAAGATGTGCGTCCTTCTATCGTCCCTATGCTGATCTGAGTGTGATGCAGGTGTGACCGTATCTGACTCAAACCAGAGCAATGACTGTATGGCTGAAGGAGGCTGGTATGGAGACCAGGGTCCATCTGCAGAACAAGCTGCATTCAAGCTAGGCTCCACGGCCACTCAAAAGTAGGAGATGAGCTCCTGTTTTTAAATGTGACAGCATTGAGAGCTCAATGGAATGTTTGCTTGGACTCTCTCACTGCATCAAGGCCAAGCTCTGCAGCAGGCTGCACAGCACCAGGAGCCGCAGCGCCAGGAAGGCACATGAGTCAGGCTGGAAATGAATAGCACAGCCATCACTGACTGCAGGAGGTGTGGTAGTGCTTTATTCCTAGGCAAACCCTCCAGCTTGTATTTCTTCAACGTGTAGGGCTGGTTTGTGGCTCTTAATGACTTTTGGACCAGAAAGCGGAAGACTTTTTTTTCTCAGTGGGACGCAAAGGTAAGTGCTGCCTCTCCAGGCTGTTTCCTAGAACAGATGGATCCATCCCTGTCTTGAGCTGCCACCCTCTGCACTACTGATACGGGGTGGCTGTGGGTCCCCCATCACTCCTGTTGTACATTAAGATATCAGACCACCCCATCCCATTCTCAGATGCACATGGACACTTCCAGCCCTGGGTTCACCTCCACCCACCCTCACTGTGCCGCCACAGCCCAGTCCCAAGCCTGCCCCTGTTCCAGCCCCCCATGGTGACCACCCTGAGGTTCAACCCACCTCTCCCCATGGCTTTGTTGCACCTCAGCTCTGCTCCCACAGACATGTATGGTCACAGGCATGGGCTGATGGTTGGACTCGATGATCTCAGTGGTCTTTCCAATCCGAATGATTCTATGATTCTCAGACCTGCACCACCCCATCTCAAACCAAGCCCCACAGGGATCCACATGCAGCCAAATCCACCCCACATCCTTCTCCGCAATCAAACACCCAAAAGAGGCCTGCTTGACTTTCAGCCCTTTATTTCCCCATCCCCTCAGCGACAGGAGCACTTGCAGGCCACCACCACAGGATAGGGGATCTGCCGCCAGGCGCAGTGCAGGGAGCCGGGGGGCCGTGCAGCCCAGCAGTGCCAGGCCAGCAGCTTGAGGTGAGCGAGCTGGGCCGGGTGACAGGCCATGCCTGGGGGCCAAGAGCAGGCAGGAGGGCCGGTCCCGCAGGCGGTGTGCCGCACCCAGCGGGGCCAGAAGACGGGCCCCAGGTCCACCCATGTGGAGGTGAGACGGCACGAGGCTCTCTCCACCAGCCAGCGCCGCAGGGGCCGCGCCATGTCGGCGGGCAGCTCAGGGGGCAGCTCCAGCCCCTCCGCCTCCTTCCACAGCTTGCGGCGGTGCCGCCCACCGCCCTCCACCAGCTCCCGGCTCATGGTTTCCAGATCCTCCTTGGCGCTGAGGTTGCGGCCCAGCGGCTCTTCCAATGACATCCAGAAGGGGTTAAAGGCTGGGCCCAGCAGCCGACGCAGTCGGCCGGGCCGCAGGTGGCGAGGCTTGGGAGCGTAGCGGTAGTCCTCGGGGGAGAGCGAGAGGCTGTAGGGTCGCACCGGGGCCGAGGGACGGCGGCGCAGCAGATGGGCAGTAGGGTCAGAGGTGCTGAACGGCGTTGGCAGTGGCGTCTGAGAGTCTTCCAGAGTGGTGGCACGCAGTGGCAGTGGCAGCAGGCAGAGGAATAGCAGGAGGCAGCAGCGGGGGCCCTGCATGGCGAGCAGTGCTGTGGGATGTGGCAGGCGGCCACGTGCCTGGGGTTATCGACACGTCCCCAGCATGGCCTTCCCCTTTTCCTTGGTTGTGGGTGATGATACCCATCTGCCCGCCCACCCGCTTGCAAGGGGATGCTTTGCTCCCTGCTGATATCAGGCGGTGGCGGAGCCTCCCACCACAGCGAGGTGTGAGATGGGGCAGCAGGACCCCACTTCTGCCTCTTTTTTCCCCCACATACCTTCACCTGTGCTGCCCCTGGGAGAACAGGCTGCCATGCAGGGGAAGAATCCAGTGCCTCCTCCTCCTCCTCTCCATCCTGCCCCATGGCTGTGTTTGATGATGCGCCCAGGACCTTCCCAGCAAAGGGAAGCTGACAGCTTTCGGGTCTTGCTGAGACCATCCCCAGCACAGCAATGTGTCCAAGCCCAGGAGGGTGGCTGGGCAGGCGTGGAAGGGCTGTTGTTTCTTGTGAGTGGCATGGTTGTTTCTTATCTGGACAGCCAGAGCACACACTGTCCCAGGTAATGATAACAAAGCTGGGTGTCTGGAGGTGCCCTCACTGGACAGCCTGTCCTCCCTCTCCAGGGAGGGAAATGCCGGTGAGAGGTCAGATCTGCTCTAGACAGAGAACAAAGCTGCTTCAACCTCCATCCCCAGGTCTGAGATCAATCTGCCCTGTGCCACGGCACTTTTTGCCTTGCTGCTAGGAATTAATTAACAGCTAAAAATAGCAACTATTTTCTCATTCTCCACAGGACTTAGACCCATATCCCAAGGATGAGGTAGGGGTCTGGCAGGCTGAGACATCCATGTTCCCTGGAAATGTAGGGAAACACATCCCAGAACATAGAGGTGGCGGATCTGTGGGATCCTGCCCACTTCCATCCTCCCATTCTCACTGTCCCCTCTTGGTGGAAGCAGCTGAACCCACAGGAAGGCTGGGAAGAGAGGAGTTAACTCCAAACCCAACCTCAGGGAGAGGGGAAAAAAATAATACAGAGAGAGATCAATGGATCAGCAGCTAGAGCAGAGGGAGGGAAAAGGAGGGGAGAGGGAGAGAGAACGTGCAAGGAGCTGCAGAAGGAGAGAGCTGAGTGTGAGAGCGGAAAGAGGGAGCACGGGGACAGGGGGATGCAGCAGAGTGTCAGGCATTGCTGACAGCACTGCTAGAAGAAACTGTCAGTGTCCCACATCCTGCTGATGAAGGTCTGCCTCCTCCTCACTGCTGCTGCCCAGGCTTTTCTGGAGGTCAACCCAGAGCAAGTGGAGAAGCTACAGGCTTCTCCTTGCAAAGGTGAGTGCCAGTTTTCCAAGCCTCGCGATGAGCCCAGAGCTGCCCCAGCCCACGTGCAAGGGGTATGCCCAGAGGAAGACTACAGTCTTCTGCTTGGGCAATAAGGTCCCACAGGACCAGGACAGAGGAGCTGGGAACAGAGGGGAGTGCAGAGCAGAGATGAGTTTTCAGTGCTGTATAGAATGTGCTAGGAAGAAGTGGTATGAGCAGAGAGAGAGGGCAGTGTGGGGTGAAAGAGCTTGCATGACCCAGAAAGAGTTAATTGCATGTCAACTGTTGCTAGATAACTGTGCCTTTCCATCTTGACTGCTGCTCAATGAAGGACAATTTGTTCTAATGAAAGAACAATAAGCAGAAGGCTCGTTAGGAGATATGGTGTTTGTGCTCCTTGTCTGTGTGAGGTGGTATACAGTACTGGAAGAAGTTTAGCCACAAATCACAGCACCCTGCTCCTTGAGTTTTTGGGATATATCACTCCTTTGTTATGACTATTGTGCTGTATTTTGGGCAGCTCCGAGATCTGCCCCCCCCCTTCTCTCATGTCACAGGGAGAGATGAAGAGCTGCACAAAGAACAGAGATCAACTGCAGAATGCGAGTACTGATAGTGACCAGGGACGAGATAGGACCCAACAGTCAAATTCCCCTTGTCTGCACCATCCATAGGGTTAACAAAACCCCAAACCCACAGACCAAACACATCCCACCTGCTTTTCTCAGAGATCCTTTGAACTCTGAATTGAAAACACATTAAATATGATAGAGTACAGTGCAGATTCTTTTCTCCACTTCCCACACTGCCAATTTAGCCACCACCATCCAGCCCATTACCTCCTATCAGCATCAGGATTACTGTCCTTAGTCACAGGTCCTCTGTGTAAAACAGCTGCTGCAAGAAGAAAGAGGAGCAGTCACTTGTGGGGTGGAGATGGCACGCTTGTGAGCGTGGCATGGTGCTTCTGCTGTGGAGTTCCTTCTTCTGGAGGTGTCCCAGCCCCATGTTCAGGGTGGCCATCCCTCTCAACCCCTCCTTCCCTATGTTCTTGCAGCCCTGGATGAGCCCAGTGGAGCATCAGCTGGGATGAAGACTTGAGATCCCAGGGTTTAGCAGCATATTGTATGTAGGAGTAATGCAGGAGAGGCCAAGCGGTGGAGCAGGAGGTCTTCCAAGAGGGCTGAGAGGTCAGAAGACACTGTGGTGGGGATGCAAATCTGGACTGTCTCTCTATGCACAGGGTTCCACTGTCGGAGAGGGAGAGATGCCAGGGGGCTGGAATGCCTCCTCTGACAGCCCGGAACTGCCAGCTGCAGGGATCATCGTGCCTGTCATCTTCTCCCTTATCTTTCTTCTGGGCACTGTGGGGAACGGACTGGTGCTGGCTGTGCTGCTGAGGAATGGCCAAGTGAAGTACAACACCACCAATCTCTTCATCCTCAACCTGGCCGTGGCTGACCTCTGTTTCATCATTTGCTGTGTCCCCTTCCAAGCCACCATTTACACCCTGGATGGGTGGCTCTTTGGGGCCTTTGCCTGCAAGGCTGTGCATTTCCTGATCTACCTCACCATGTATGCCAGCAGCTTCACCCTGGCTACAGTCTCCATTGACAGGCAAGTGTCCCCTGTACATTGAGCCCCTCAGCTCAGGGACAATGTGTTTGCCACCCTTGAGCTAAGAGGTAAGAAAAAGTCCAGTCTCCACCCTATTGGGTGCCCTGTAGGGAGCAGGTTGGGTCATCCCAGTGACAGCAGGGATGCCAGGACCAGCAGATTGATCTTTCCACTGTTACTCCTCACCTCCCATACATTCTCCCAACTCCCAGCCAAGCTCTTGGTCTAGTTACCTGTCCTTTCTCTTCCTTACTTGAGCAGAAGGGTTGTAGGCAGCCAAGAATGCCAAAGCCCCAGGAAAGCAATGCACCAGGGGACAAACAGGTAGCTCTTTGTGTCCTATTTCGGCCCTCCTCCCTGACTCAAGATGCACGTTGCTTACCCTTCCTGAGCTAGCACAGCAATGTGGGCAGCAGAGATCCCAGATCCCATGTTGGGATGACCCCATTCTCACCATAATCCTCTTTCCCAAGAGGTGAGGAAGGGGAGAGATCGGTGGCTGTGTGGGAATGGGTGCACAGATGGCAGCTGCATGGGACAGGAGGGCAATGAGACCCAATCTCATCCACATCCTGTTTGGTCTCTCCTTCCCTTCCCCACCAGGTACCTGGCCATTCGCTATCCACTGAAGTCCCGGGATCTCCGCACTACCCAAAATGCAGGAGTGGCCATTGTAGTGATTTGGTTGCTATCACTACTCTTTGCAGGGCCTTACCTCAGTTACTACCAGATTGTCCATTACCATGGGGTGCCCATCTGCGTCCCTGTCTGGGAGGACCAACGCCGAAAGATTCTGGACATCCTTACGTTTGTAGTTGGATACCTCTTACCTGTGACTGTAGTGAGCCTGGCATACGCCAGGACCATCAAGTTCCTGTGGACCTCTGTAGACCCTATAGAGAGGATCTCAGAGTCCCGAAAGGCCAAGCGTAAGGTCACCAAGATGATCGTGGCTGTGGCCATCCTGTTCTGCCTCTGCTGGCTTCCACACCATCTGGTTATCCTGTGCTTCTGGTTTGGCCACTTCCCTTTCAACCGAGCCACTTATGCCTGCCGCCTGGCTTCCCACTGCCTTTCGTATGCTAATTCCTGCCTCAACCCTATCGTCTATGCGCTTGTTTCCAAGCATTTCCGAAAGCGTTTCAAGCAGGTCTTCACCTGCCTGTTCTTCCAGAACAAGAACAGGAAGAAGAGAACTGGAAATAAAGTTCATATGGTCGCTGTGGGCAAAGGTTTCACTAACAGCACTGGAGGCTTCTATGGAGGCAACACTGAGCTGACTCAGATCGCAAAGGAGAACAATAGGAAGAGGGACACTGAAGGCGCCAGACATGCCAGAGCATGGACTCACCAGCTACAAGAAGTTCAGAAGGAGCTGCTGGAGGAGGAAATCTTGGTAACAGCTGGCCATCCCCTAGCCAAGAACACTCCAAGAAGGCCTCAAGAGTGTCTGGCTGCTGATTACAAATGAGCAAATGCATCTCGGAATGGCACAATCCACCACATCAGTGCAGAGCACAGGGACGTGTTAATGTGATGACATTTCTCATGGTCTGGGGGCAGTCCAAGTCCACCTCCCCTTCTGTGGCTCCTGTATCCAGATCAAAGAGGGCCATTGCACTTTACTGCGCTGAGTCTGCACCAACAGCTTGGTTGTACAACCTCTGCAGAACTCACTGGTCATACCTCAATGGTATCACCCTGCCACAGCAGGTGAACAACTGAAAGGCTGTTGCGCCCTCCCTGTGTACCCATGGCTTCTTTGCAGCTCAAAAGGGAAAGGACCATCAGTCTGGTCTCTTCCCCTGGCTCAGCCCTTCCAGAAAGTACTTAATGGAAGAGGTTTCCTTGCGCTCTGCCCTGCTTAGCCTCTGATCTTGCAAGCAGATACTGCAGGACACTGTCCACTTCCTTGTGCTGCTTGCAGTTCTGAAATATTTCTTGGCAGTTATCCTCAGTTCTTCCCAAGCAACCCTCACAAATCCTCCTCCCACCATGTTGTTCCATCTGATTAATCTCTGCTTTATTTCTGTTCGCCTTTTGGAAATTCCTGAAGGACCGCTGCCTCTTCATTGTTCTTTATGTAGAGTTTCATCCCTTCCTTCAGGGGTTGTTGCTCTCTGAGCGGTGATGTAACTCGGCAGTATTAGCCCTGTCTGTGTGCTTTACCAACTTAGCAAGATATTATTTTCCATGAAATGAAAATCATGATTGCACTTGTGTGCACTTGGCTCAATCTTAAATCCTCTCTGTTCTTTTCTGTGTGGTGGGGAGAGCTTCCAGGAGGGTGCAATGCCACCACCACTCAAAGGGCTGGAACATCTTCCGCAGCATTCCTCACTGCAGGATTGCTGTGGGTCTGATGTGCTCCTGGGAGCACAGTTTCCCATTTGTTGTTCCTCGTTGCCCTCCTTGTCTCGAACAGCTGTAGAAGAGCCTTTGGTTGCAATAGATGCTGAATGACCCCCTGTAGTAGAGTGGAGTGTCTTTCCAAACCTGACCATGGGAAAAATGGGAATTGCTTTGGGGATGGGGGAGGGCAAGAAATAAGGTTCACAGAGGGTGCTGGAATTTCTCCCTTTCCTAACCTGAATAAAGCCCAGCAATTTCCTTCTCCTGGTAAGTTTGATGTGTGCTGAATGCAAACTCTGCCAGCATAGCATGGACTGCTGGAGGCTGTATGAGCTGGTGGGAGTCCTTCATGGGGACAAAAGGGATGGTGAGATGGTAGGGCAGAGGGACAAGGAGCAGAAGGGAGGACAAGCAGGCACACAGCATGCGTGTGCATGGAGATAACGCTCCCAGCAAAGCCCTATGCGAGGGGATATGAGGACCAAATGCTGCAGCAGACTCCAGGCTGTGGGAAACCTGCAGGGAGCACACTGCTCACTTCATAGCTAATTCATACAGAGTAATGCTGGGAGCCCCAGCTGGCAGAGAGAAGCCATTTACTGCCAACCCACTGCCAAGCACCTGCGCCAAATGCTAAATCACTGGAGGCAGTGCAGCTCAGTCAGCTCTGTCCTGAGCTGCACAGACACAGTGTCCTTGCTTGCCCCCGTGCACAGTGGGACCTTTGATAAGCAGGTGGAAGCTGCAGTATCAGGTGAAGAGCTTACAGCCCTGTCTTTGTCCTTTGACACTGTCAGAGCTATGGGCACAATATGGAAGGGATGAGGGGGACATGCAACAGTGGGAACATGGCTTTGCAGAGCCCTGCTATGTACAAGCCATGCAGCAGATCTATAAGCTCTCCCTATTCTTCTTTGCTTGCCCTCCCCAACTTCTGCTTGCATGAATCTTCCCTTCTTGCTTGCTCTGCTTGCTTGTCAAATTCCCAGGTGACGTGGCACTTCAATGTGTGCTGACACTGTAGCACAGCTCAGCAGCAAGGACACCCCTTTCCCCATGCTGGAGCCAACCTGGTTGCTGCACTGGGGATTGTTTTTCTTTTCACACTCAAGCACTTGATGTTGTTTTCTGCACCTTGAACCTCCCATGTCTCTCCTTGTGCTGGAATACGTGCATTGTTTCTAGATCTGTGGTTGCATTTCACAACCCAAAGTGTTGGAGAAGGAAGGGAACAGCAGTCGAGAATGGTGATGCTCTGACCTTGTTCCCTTTAAGGGTGAAACCTAAATAACATGGCACAAAAAGGATGGGGGAAACCTGGGGAGAAGGCATGTTTAGCACCTCTGCAAGATGTGGCTCCCATTCATTCATTCTGCCTGGATGCAAGAGCCTGCATTTTTGGGGAAGCACATGAGCAAGAGGCTCGATAGCCAAGAGGGAATTCCAGTCTGCCCGGTAACAATACACATGCTTCAACTGGTCCAACAGCTTAAAGGCAGAGGCAAAGAAAAGGTGTTATGTCCTTGATGTAAAACTGTCACTAATTAAGGTCAAAGGAACTCAAATGCTCTTCTCACACAGTCTCCCCTCCAGACTGATTAGCAATCAGCAGTCTCTGCTCCCAGCCTTTCAACTTAATTAATGATTACTTGTCATCGCTCAGACTGATGAGCTCGGCTTTAAACCTGCGGGAGCTGCCACACCTGGGACGTGCTGAGCGTGGGGCAGCAGGGACAGAAGCAGAGAGGGGAGAAGATCCAATGGAAGAAGGCAAATGATGGTCGAAGAGCCCCTGGATGAGCTATTTGCCCTGTCTCCTTTATCAGCTTCTTAATCAAAACGACTGATTCTCTCACCTTGTCATCCCATTGCCTGGGGCTGCTCTCCCACGCTGCCTGGTTGTAGTGTACAAAGAAATCATCTTACTGCCTGTACCTTTCCGTGACGGAGAAGATGAAATCCATCTCACTCATTGAACGAGCGGAGGAAGCAGATGAAAGGCTGGAAGGTTTGCAGGGATGCTTCATGGGGCTTCCTTAGCAGCACAGAGGATAATTACTGTGATGGATTTGGAGTCTGCTAGAAAGGCGAAAGTGAAGGAAGTAATGGAGTTCAGATGTTGGCTTGATACCCTGGAGCTTAATTATCCCAACTGCTGAAGACTGAAAGGCAGCAGATTCTTGGTGTTTGTGCATACCGCAGCACACTTTGCATTCACTGGCATGGGCAAGCAGCTGCTGCAGAGAAAGACCCTTTGCTTAACAACATCCATGACACCTTATTGGGAGGTTTGTACACAGCTATTGCTTCTGCTTGAAAGAGCCAGATCCTGAGCCTGGCTGGTTTTGTCTGTGTCTTACAGCATGAGCTCTCTGTGCAGGGTTGAGGGACTGGCGAGGTCACTGCTGGGCTCAGTGGCTGTGGGTACAGCGTGTCACTGCAGAGCCGTGCTGTGAATGAAGGGGGAAACAAAATGCATATGGAGGACAGGCAGTGGTGAGCAAGGCCTTGGGTCAAGTCCTGTCTGCCAGGGAACAGTGGCACGTGTGGCCCACCAAAACACGGTGCTTAGCAGTGTAAGGCAAGGGAAAAGGGGAGGTTGGGCCAAGTGTAATGTCAACGTAGCGGAGGAAAGACAGTGGTGTTGTTTGTATTGTTACTGCAACAGACACCTCTGGAATAGACTGAAAGCAAGGGAAATATTCATTGCTGCCTGCTGCAGCCCTGCCTTTCCACTCCAAGCATACAGTCAAGAGCAGTCATGGAAAAACTCCAGCACCAGGCAAACAAAGACTTGAAGAGCTGTGGACAGCAACGTCCTGAGCACTCAAGCTAAAAGCTTAGCTCTGAATCTCAGCTAAGTGTGTTCCTGGTTGCAAGGAAAGCTTCCAAGCTGCATCTAGTTTGCAGACATCATCAGCAGCCAAGGCAACTGCAATGATAAGAGCACCCCAGCCGCCTGCTCTTTGGCACTTTAATGGTCTCCTCAGCAACAAGGTTGTTGACTGCCAAGTGTACGTGGATATGAAGCTTAGGCTGACGCAATGACAGAAAGACAGAACAGAACAGGCTGAACACAAAGTCACCAGCTCCTCACCCAAGGGACCACATTGTAAAGCCCCTGCCCAGATGTCAGGGGGCTGAGGTGCCAGGGAGGAACAGCTCTTCACAGAGCAGCCACTTTTCTGGGCACAGGGCAAGGCACGAGTGCAACCACTTTATCCCCACCAGCTCCACACTTACACAGGAGCACAGACTGGGCAAGGCTGCTTTCCCTCTTCACAAAGCATGCCACCTCTCAGCTAGATGCAGTCCCCCCGAGATTCTCTTTCCCTCTGTTTGTACAGTATCACAGCAACTAACTAGATTTTAAGTTTGAATTTCTTGGCTGTGGGAGCCGAGATCAGAAGGTGAGTCAGCAGCTGTGTACTCTGATCTGCAAACAGGCTGGTGTTTGAATTCAAACAATTTTGTGTTGTCACTTCCAATTTCAGTGCCACAATTGGGAACAGCAGTTACTGAACCCAGTGCTGTGCCCACGGCCTGAAACATCAGTAAAGGGGAATGAGCTGCTCTGAAAAGAGAGAACTGGACAGGGAATTCAAAAAAGGCTGACAGGATTTTATTGAAGTTTGAAATATGAAAAGGTCAGATTGTCTCCCACCCCCTCAGAATCCTTCCCATCCAGCACGTCATAACAAAGTACCAGCACTCACAGTGACAGCCCCAGCCAGCACAGCTTCCAGCACACCTAGAACAATGCGTATTCTGATAGCTCAGCTTTGAACAAGGAGGCCCAGTGAGCCTTCTCCTGGCTAAGCAGCCAGACATTAGAGAACACGTCTCTGAAGAACGTTGCAAACAGTGGCTGTTAATATGGTTTAGCTGAATCCTATAGAGCTGACATGATTCCTAGCTGTGGGGTGCACATCACCACCAGCATGCCATGTCGTTTAGGTGGGCATGCAGGTGGGAACTGCGGTACATTTTCTTGTCATCCTGCTGTCGCTCACGCCCCACCTCCAAGACTTCACATATCCCTGCTTCAAAGCAGAACTACCGTGTCTCTGTTACCAACCAGAGAGCAGCAAGGGAGATTCCCCGCATCCTTCACAGCTGCATTACTCTGGGCTCCCAGCAGAAGTCGTTACTCATTCCTCAAGCTGAACTTCAGACCCTGGAGCTGTGCGTCTCCACAAGCAAGAAACACACGATGGGTGTCAGCCAGTTTTGGGTTTGGTGCTGCTGCCGCAGCCACAAATCCACCTCCACCCCAACCCAACGATGTGGGGCACCTTCTGTTGCTACTGGACCCCTGGCCTGAAACAGCCAGTAGTGGATACAGAAAAGTCACTTAGAATGACTTTGGTGGGTTTTTTTTCTTCAAACAAAATGTAGATGCATGCCTAAAACTGCAGTAGGATTAAGTCATTCCCTAACCCTCATTGTTGCATCAGGGTAGCTCTGACCTGATGCCTCCCTGGATATTCTTCACAAGTGTTTCACTCTGAGATTTAAGCACTGTCTTTCAGCAGTGCTTCAAAAACCAGGCCCAGTGGAACCTGTCAGTCTGATTAAAAGCATTGTATCCCACCCCTAACTGGTCAGATACTCTGCAGGCTCTAGGGAAGTTTAGGATTACGTCTTGGTGCATGCTTCTTAAGGCAGTGTGTTTGCTCAGCTGCTACCACACAGAATTAGGGACGTGTTATTCCTATAGTACAAAGCCTTCTGTTGTCCAAGATGCCCACTTCCCACCCCCCCCATGCAGTTTAATACTGCAGTGGTGGCAAAAGATGCCTGTTGCAAGCAGATAGATCTGTGATGCTGGCAATTTTCCATGGCATTAGCCACCACCTGCACTGAACTGGAGTGCTAAGGAGAAGGCAGAATACCTCTGCTCTGGAAGGGGTACCCTATTCAGTGCCAGCCTATTTTTTTTCCCCAAAAGTCTCAGCTGCAGCACTCTCTTGTCAAATCTTACTGCCTCCTCATGAGGCAACCATGGCAGCACCCTCAGGGCCTGCGATGTTTATTCAGAGACGCAGGCCTTCTTCTCTAAGCCTTCTCCTTCTGGATCACAGAGATGAGAGGACTTGGAAGCCTGTTACCTCTTCTCCATCTGCATCTGCAGGCTGAGCGATGTGAAGCTGGCCAGGAGGTCTGTAACCTCGTCCACCTGTCAGAAGAATACAGTTGGCCATCAGGCACAGGAACACAGCTGCCCACCACCACAGAAGAAACCCCCATGCAGCAAGGA